TGTTCTATATATATCTATAGATAGTATGTGATAAACAATATATATAATATTTTCTACTATATATATATATATATATTACAAAATGAAAATAGAGTCCATATACATATATACACGCAAATCACCATCTGTATGGTTGTTTCTCTGTGCACATTGCACAATTCAAGGTATGCAACCGTAAAAAAATGTATTTGTATTATATTGCAATAAACCTTAGGTTGCGTTTACTTGATAATATTTAATTAATGTCGGTACAATGGTATTTTGAGGATGTTAGAAGAATTTGTGGTAAGAACGACCCACGTCTTGTCAGCACGACTTATAATTGATTATCTACTAGTAGTGCATCGGTGACATCGACAACTCCATCCTGACCAACCATTTGATTGTATGCTTTCTGGGCTATTACCATGGTAGGTGCATTCGTATTTCCAGATACTACTGTAGGCATGACGGAGGCGTCGATCACTCTAAGTCCTTCCATTCCGTGTACTTTCAGACCATTGGAGTGATCAACCACTGCCATAGGATCTGATGATGGACCCATTCTACAGGTAGATACCGGGTGGTAGATGGATTCGGTATTTTCACGTAGATACTCCTTGATGTCGTTATCGGTAAGGTTGTTAACATCCTTATCGCCAAATCCACTGACCACCAGGTTATCTTCTGCTAGAGTCTTGGTTTGAATCAGCTCAATGCTTTTTCGTACTGCAGCCACCATGGGGTCAAAGTCGGCGGGCACATCGTAATAGTTGGGGTCAATCAGTGGCCCCTCCATTGGGTCAGCCGAATTCAGACCGACTGTCCCGCGAGACTCGGGCCGCATATAGCACGATTTGACCGAGATGCCACCACCGTATCGTAAAGTGGCCCCGTGATCTTTGTAGTAGAAGGGTGCAACATGCATTTGAATATCATTAGCGGGAATGTCAGGCTTGCTTTTGAAGAATGAGCCGACCATTTGATTGTCTCCCATGAACACTCCTTCTTTTTTGAAAAGACCTAGGAAGAAGTGCTTAATCTGACTTGGTAGGTTGGTTAGCCCGATTTGCAGTGGCATACTTATTCTCGAAGTTTTTGCATTCACACAGATGTCGGCATGATCCTGAAGATTCTGACCCACTCCTGGCAATTCATGTACTACATCAATTCCATACTTAGTAAGCTGGTCCTTAGGGCCAATTCCTGAGAGCATCAGTAACTGTGGACTGTTAAATGCACCACCGCACAGGACAACATCATTTTTCGCTTCGAATGTTACGGGGTTAGCAGAATCTGAGCTGCCTGATACCACTGCATGCACTCCAGTCGCCCGCCTGCCTTCCGTGAGTACCTTTGTGGTATGAGCATCAACAATAACATCCAGATTTGGGCGAGCTCGGACCTCTGGGGTCAGAAAGGCAACACCAGTGCTGCAGCGCCCACCCTTGGTCTGTGTGTACTGATAATACCCCACTCCAGACTGGTCTGCTCCATTAAAGTCATCGGTTGTTTTCCATCCCAACTCGTTGCCTGCTTTGACAATGCGCTTACTGTATGGGCCAATGTGATTCTGGGTCCGCACATGAAGAGGACCTTCGTTACCGTGGTAAGCGTTATTTTTGAGCGTATCATTATTCTCCAATTCCTTGAAAATGGGTAGCACATTCTCCCATTCCCAACCGTTGCATTTATTTTCCTCCGCCCATAAGTTGGTGAAGTCATATTTCAAGCCACGAATATATACCATAGCGTTAATCGCAGAGGAGCCGCCGACTCCGCGACCACGAGGCTGGAACATGTTCCTACCATTACAGTTCTTCTGAGGTGTTGTCCAGTATCGATGGTTGTACTTTTTACTGTAGGGAACGGTCCAGAAAAACCCACTGGGGTTGCGGATGAGTGGTGTGTTATCATCTGAGCCTGTCTCCAGTAAAGCCACTCGCACATTGGGGTCCGATGAGAGGCGATTGGCCATTACACAGCCGGCACTTCCGCCACCAACAACTACATAGTCGTAGACCTGCTTAGTAGAAGCAGGGAGAGATCGAAGAGACTTTGAGAGTGACATCTTAAATAGTCGTTTAGTTGATTATGCAAATGTAAACTATTAAGTATATTCTGGTGATTATAATGACCTGGTGAGCGCTTAAATATCAGAAAGCAGACTTTTGTAGCCATAATGCGGTGCATCCAGCGATCGATATTTGCTTGAATCAAAAGACAAACTGACGTCTGACGTAGCGTATATGTAGCTCTATATAAAAGGCGTAAACCAATCGCGAGTAGGGCTCGGAGCCGTAGGAGCGCTAAGATTTATCCATGCAAACGGTAAAATAAAAAAATTAGGAAAACAACTGTATCAGGAGTTCACTAGTTCAGTGTACACTGGTTCTGTAACTGTGGTTCAGCCGTTCAGCCTGGTCCAGTGGTCTTCAGTTGGACTTCAAGAGTCAAGACTCCACCTTTTCAGTTTGAGTTTTCACTTTTGACTCACTTTGCAGTTTGCCTCACTGTTCCAGACTTCCAGTGTTCAGTTTTCTGTTTTCAGTGTTTTCAGTGTTTCACTTTTCAGCTTTTTCAGAAACAAATCCTTTTCACGAAAATTTTGAAATATATCGCCAATCGCCAATCGGGTGATATTCAGTAAAACTTCGGAATTCCGGATCCCAGAAATAAATACAACTGTTGAATTCCGTCGGTTTATCAATTGTCCAAGCCTATGTGTGATCAGGTTCAGAGGTTCTGGTTTTTTTTTTGTATAGTTCATGCATATGTACAGCATAGGCTGCATAACAGCATACAGCCATACATAGCCTTTGTTCAATTTACAAGCAACTAAATATTATAAAGTATGATATATCATATCAGCAACATTCAACTCTCGAGAGCCCTCTTTGCCATAATAGGAATTTCTGACTCTTTTGCAGACTGCGGAGTACGGACCAATGTGACAAAGTAGTATGATGAAAGTATGTGTGCTCCTTTGACCTTTTAAGTTTTATCCTGAAATTCGGATGTCATGTTCACAGTTCAAAACTTTTGTGACTTGAGAGGTCGAGTTTATTCTCTGGCCTCTGCACAAAGGTTGCAAAACTGATATGTAGTCAGATGAATTCTGATCTAAAAGTATTTAAGGCATACTGCAATACATAGAATTTTAGATGTGGAACGTATTGAGTAAAACTGAAAACACCCGATGATTCGGATTGAACTCGAATAAGATCTATTTCCACTCATTCGAGTTCAATCCGATCATCGGGTGTTTTCAGTTTTACTCTATACGTTCCACATTCGATACTATTTTATCATTTGTTCAGTTTACATTTGGTCAATAAAAAAGGACACTCAGGAACTCCAGATACCTCATATTGATCTGATTTATGTAGAGATGCGAGGAAGACAAGCGATGTGCCGGTGTATAAAAGGATGATAACATTACAGGGAAATAGTAGTACATCAACGTACGAGTCTTAAAGCACACTCATCTTTCCGAATAACAATGCTTAGGTATACAATCGCAGCCGCAGTAGCAACTGGTGCTTATGCATCGCTGGATGCTTCCTACAAGCCAGCCAGCGATTTCACAAAGGCCGAGATTGCAGAGTCTGACAAGAATCTCAACTTCAGCAACTATACAATGTACGAGGAGGTTGACTGTGGATTTGTTGTCGCCCCAAACACGACAAGAATAATGGATACAAGCGGCGAAAATGTAGCTATCGATTCCGACGCCATCATTGCGCTAGTGTCAACCCCTCCACATGGCGACAGGCACAGTTTCTAGCGCGCACTGGTGTCTATAGAGTACAAGACAAAGTGTATCAAGTACGTGGTATGGATCTGGCTACAATGACTATCATTGAAGCTCCCGAAGGACTGATAGTGGTAAATCTACTCGGCAGCTCCGAGCCTGCTAAGATAGCATTCGAACTATATATGACGCATGTCGGTCCCCATACCGGCGCCAAACACTACACAGTGTCATTTTCACGCACTCTCATATCGATCATTTCGGCGGAGTCCTCGGGCTCGCACCAGAGGAATCCTTCATTAACGGATCCATTCAAGTAGTCGCCCCTCTCAACTTTGTTGAAGAGGCGCTGTCTGAGAACTATATGGTCGCCGGATCAATGTTTCGACGCGCGTTCTACATGTACGGAAATCTTATCAAACCTCATGCCCAGGGCTCGATCCACGCTGGACTCGCGTTCGGTGCTGCCAACTCACAGTTTGGTTTCGTGGCACCCACCATCTCTATTGACACCGATCTCGAACACCATACAATGGCTGGACTGGATTTCGAATTCATGCTGACTCTGAGTCCTGAAGCACCAAGCGAGTTTCACTTCTTTGTGCCCGAGTTGAAATTACTTAATACGGGTGAAAATGTTGTTATGGGGATGCATAATTGTTTAACGCCCAGAGGTGCGAAAGGTCGGGATACTATGAAGTGGGTTGCGGCGCTCCAGAAGACCTTAGATCATTATGGCTAGTGGAGAACATGATTGGACAGCATCACTGGCCTAAATATGGCAATGCTGCTGTTGTCGAACATCTCGAAAATTATCGTGACACTATCAAGTTCCCTCATAATCAGGCTGTTCGTCTGCTAAAATTGGGCCTAGGTATGGAAGAGATCAGCGAAACAATCGAGTTGCCAGCCTCATTGGATTCCAACTTCAGTACACGTGGTCACTACGGACATCTCAAACACAACTCCAAGGAGGTATATCAATTCTATGTTGGCTGGTGGGACGGTAAACCCGCTACCTATCAGCAACTTCCTCCGGTCGAGCGTGCACAGCAGTATGCTGCCGACATGGGAGGGAATGCAGAAGTGAGAAAGAGGGGCGAGTGGCACCGTGACAACGAAAACTACAGGTACTGCGCAAAGATCATGAACCACGCGGTTTTCAACGATCCCACGGATATGGCGGCAAAGTACCTGGAAGCTGATTGTTTGGAGCAGATCGGCTACAGCGAAGAGAGTGGGCCTCGCCGCAATTATATGCAGACTGGGTCTGAAGAGTTAAGACATGGAAAAGGGGCTTACCCGCCCGCTGACCTTGGACCATCGTTTGTACTGAACATGCCATTGTACATGCTTCTTCAGGGTCTGGAGATTCGAATCAACCCCGAGCAAGCCAACAAGGCGCACGGTCTATCGATCTTGGTCGGTGTTGAAGAAACCAACGAGATGCTCGACGTGCGCATCTCGAATGCGGTCATGCTTTCACTACCTATCACCGACATGAATCCACGCTCCGGGTCTACGGCCAATTTCACAGCCAAAACCAGATCTGACCTCATCGCTGCTCTGGTAACCGAAAACTCTTCGCTGGTCAGTGTGACAGGTGATATAGATGCACTCAAGGAGTTTGCTAGTTGCATATCCACCGATGAAGACGCAACTTGGAATGTGATGACTCCTAGAGACTTCTACGAGCCCAAACCACAGAAGACATACCCTGCCAGTTTGATCCAAACATTAGTGGCACAGACGTCTACAGCTGAATCTAGCTGCGTCGAGCAGTCCTGTCTGGACCAAGGTCTGAGTGTGGGTGCTGTAGTAGGTGTTGCCGTAGCAGCACTAATTGTTGGTTTGGTTGGAGGCATCGGGGTCAATACAATTGTTTACCGAAGGAAAAACAACGCTTGCGCGGCTGAATCGACCACAGATCTTGGTTAAAGATGGCTGGCATGTACTTCAATATCGCAATAAAACTCAATCACAAACGTATACCTCTGCTTACTTCATATTCAAAATTTGGTAAAGGTTATCGATACATAAGAAACATACATAAATACAATTGTACGTTGATATACTAAAAATATTTTATAGGAATACCATATAAATGTACAAGCACGTGTATACTCACTCATATGTACACACTCACAGAGCGACTCACACGAACTCACAAATAAGTTTACATACGGAAGCACACACACACACACACACACACACACATATATATATATATACACGCACACACACACAAATACACCCCACACTCACACACTCACACACACACATAATAT